GACATGTTATTTGTAAATGAAAGTATTTTGGGGAAAACATTTTACTAAAAGAGAAAAATGATATCATTTCGCAAATAAGTATTAATTTGTAAGTCATTTACAAAAAATATAATTTTGTAAGATATAGCTTTAAAATAAGAGTTTTTTAATATGAATTGTGAATGTAAAGGCAAATGCTTTGTAAAGGATTGTCTTATAAATTAACTTTTACTGATTTTGAAGTAGCTTAAAGAAAAATGGTCCAAATAAACTTTGTATATGGATGATGATTGTATTTTGAAGATGTGATCTTTTTATATGTGATAATGTTTGTAAATACATTGTTTGATAAAAATAAAAAAGTGATTTCATTTTTAAAAGTTATGAAATGTACATTTTGGTGTGATTTTTATGAATGGTGTTTTGACTCATAGTTTTGGAATGAAGTGAATGTGCAGATGGGTTTAGAGTTTGAAATTGATGGAGCTTAAATATATTTAAATTGTCTGTGTTTGATTATTCAAATGTAGGTGTAATTTCAAAATGAGCGATACAAAATGATAAAAACAGATTGGTTAATTTTTCACATTGATGAATTGTAATATTTAAACAATATTTGCTTCTTCTTGGTAAACAATTAGTGAGTTATTTCCCTTTACTTATTGTGAACAGTTTGATACATTGGAAAATTTCTATATTTTGTGTTGAAAGCAGGTAAGTGTATGTTACTTGATTATATTATTTTTAATTATTGCAGGTTTGGTTTATTGGAAAGACAGAAGATCATAGAGCGGTGAAAGTGTGGCGAACTTTTACTTTAACAGAGCCAAAATATTCAAAACTAAGCGGTGAAAGTGTGGCGAACTTTTACTTTAACAGAGCCAAAATACTCTAAACTAAGCGGTGAAAGTGTGGCGAACTTTTACTTTAACAGAGCCAAAATGCTCTAAGCGGTGAAAGTGTGGCGAACTTTTACTTTAACAGAGCCAAAATACTCTAAACTAAGCGGTGAAAGTGTGGCGAACTTTTACTTTAACAGAGCCAAAATACTCAAAACTAAGCGGTGAAAGTGTGGCGAACTTTTACTTTAACAGAGCCAAAGAATCTAGAGAAATCTAGTTGCTATTCATATCTCAATTTTTATTATCTAGAGAAATCTAGTTCCTATTCAAAACTCAATTTTTATTACTAGAGAAATCTAGTTGCTATTCATATCTCAATTTTTATTACTAGAGAAATCTAGTTGCTATTCAAAACTCAATTTTTATTACTAGAGAAATCTAGTTGCTATTCATATCTCAATTTTTATTACTAGAGAAATCTAGTTGCTATTCATATCTCAATTTTTATTACTAGAGAAATCTAGTTGCTATTCATATCTCAAATTTTATTACTAGAGAAATCTAGTTGCTATTCATATCTCAAATTTTATTACTAGAGAAATCTAGTTGCTATTCATATCTCAATTTTTATTATCTAGAGAAATCTAATTGCTATTCATATCTCAATTTTTATTACTAGAGAAATCTAGTTCCTATTCAAAACTCAATTTTTATTATCTAGAGAGATCTAGTTGCTATTCATTTCTCAATTTTTATTACTAGAGAAATCTTGTTGCTATTCATATCTCAATTT